TTTCCGTGTTAAAGAGTAGTGAAGACGCTCATAAACGTTTGAACAATGTTGACAGTCATTGTGAACACGTGATGTAAAATAAATTTTCGTTGACTGGCTTATCTGACTCTCTTTTGTTTTGCTTAAAGCGCCTTAAAGTCCGGTGCGCCTTGTATGTGGAAAAAGTTTGAAAATAGACCACTGATTGACGGTGCGCCTTATAATGCAGTGCGCGTTATAGTGCGGAAAATACGGTAAAAGTGTACAGGTTTCTGTGGGATGGTGAGACAGGAGGCCAGCATTTCATTCATTAGACTTAGCCTTACCGTAATGATACTACATCATTTTAATATACTGAAAACTTTTTTTTAATCAAGAAGTTACAATTATGCAAAGGTTTGTGAGTAATAAAGACAAACAACATTTTACCTTGCCATATCTTTATTGAGAAGATCGTTTAAAAACAAGTTAATTGATGGGAAAGGTATATGGGCCCTTATGTGTAGTATTGGCAAATATTTAAACTAAACTGTAGTTTCTGATACCTGAGCAGCAGTTATTTTGGGTCCATTCCTTTATAGAAAACTGTTTCAGGTCATGTATACTGTTGACATTTCTTGCTTGAATGGCCTGCTTCAGATCGTGCCACAGCATTTCAGTGGGATTGAGGTCAGGAATCTGACGTTCTCAAATATGGAATTTATTCTGCCTGAGTTGCTCTGATATTGAATTAGATTTGAGACCCTGACATCGCGCTGTACAATTTCCTTATCTGACATGGAGCCTATTGGTCCCTCAATAAGTATGGGATAAACCATGACAAGATTATATGAAAATTATATGAAGTTATATGAAAATAATCAACGACAACTTGATAACAAGTCCAACTTGGTTATCATTGTAATTTTCCTATAACTGCACACCTCAAAGTGGTTCATCATGACTACTGACCACAAAATAATAACAGAATAACCATTAATTAACCAAGAGGTTAATTTTGCAGAAAATAATTATTTCAAGTAGCATTTAATAATGTTTCAATGTTCTCCTAAAAACATAGTCCATATAAGGATAGAACGTCCGGTCAGGCTACTCACTAAAAGTGGCAAGTCCATTAAGTTACCTTAGAAGCTGTCAACAGACACTTGCATTTTGAAAACCAAGGAAAATTATGCTGAAAAAGTCACACGGGTTATTATATTTATGTTTAATATAACATTAAAATGCTTTACTATAGAACTGTTAGGCTGCTGGAACTACCTGTGTGGTTAGACAAAAATAATTGTCACCCACGTGAAATCTCTGGACCAATAAGAAAAGAGAACTTATCAAAGCTGTGGTATAATTAAATAGATCCAAACCCTGTTGAAGTGAAATAACCTCACAGCATTATACTCCATTGTACTTAACAGCTGGGATAAGGTTTTACTGCTCATATGTAGTGTTTGTTTTCTCCTAACATTCAGTACATTTAACAGACATTTCAGCCATTGTTTCATCTGCTGAGAGAACATTGTTCCAGTGTTTCCAGTAGTGGTATAGAACATCCCAGTGGTCTATATCAAACCTCCAGTGTTTTTCTCATTGTAGTGAACACAGGCGCTAATATCCAGAGATGCCTCCAAATCCTTAATTCTCACCCCATGATTCTTCATTAAACCTCTGGGGATTCTACACCGTACCCATTCAGTGATCGTTATATGAGCCCCACTGTTTGAGAGAGTATCAGCAGTGTTGAATTTCTTCCGTTTCCCTGCTTATGCAGTGATGGAGGATTAAGTCTTTCAAAAACCTTTTGTAACCCTTTCCATGTTTGTGAGCTTCAACAATTCAAATCTGAGGTTGTCTAAAATCTCCATTCATTCTGCCATATTGTGCTTGAAGAGAATTATGTGCTAAAGGAAAAGCGACTAAAATTGGGTGTTATTTATACTGTAGGTGGGGCAGCCTGATTACAGTTGCCCTCGTTTCAAGAGGTTGTTATTCTGAAGGTTCACATATCAATGATTGTTTAAACCATCCCATCCATCTGTGTTCCATCTGCGCAAAACAGGGTGAGCATGCAATCTCCACACACGCAGAGAGGAGGCATAATTCAGGGCAGAAATCGGATATTACCAAAGACGTTTTCTCTGTGTATGTGATATGTTAGGTGTCTAACATTGCCAAGGTTATTGGTGTTCAGGTAATTTTCCACTGATGCACATGTGCGCTTGTGTTCCCATGGGGCCCATATTTTATACCTTTTAAATTTAAATATAGAACTTTAAATGCCTCTTAAAAGGTGCAGACTGAGCAGAGCTGACAGCAGGATGCTGGAGCAGTATATTAAGTAGCTACAGGCTGCATGAAATAATCAGTTCAGCATAACGATGGAGGCTCGGCTGACCGAGCTCTGCACTTCATTTATCTCTGAGCGTAGTTTCTTCTCTATAATGTTCGCAAATGAAAAACGCAAAAGAATCGACCAGTTATTTTACTAGATATGAATAAATAAAATTTCAAACTGGTCTATAAGAATAAATGAAAGTTTTCATAATTTATTGGAGCTTAAGAAATATTTTTGTTACCGTAGACTGACCCAGTGAAACTGGAAAGGTGTGGGAGAAAAACTAAATTATTAATATCAAATTATTATCAAATTCAGCGTGGTTAAAGATATCCCTTCACTTACTTAAACCAGTTCCTGCATCAGCCCAGAATGGCTTAGTACTATTGCTCTGGGGCTGAGCTTGCCTCTATACACCAATACTTCGGCAGATTGTATCAAATGTGACAGATTCTATTATCCACCGGTTATTTCCTCCTTTCAGATCTCCACTCGGGTCACTTGTGGATGACTGGAGCAGTTTGGATGTATGACCCACTGCCGTGTAGCTCACACACACTTGCGCTAACCAGTCTGTCAGCACTCGGCATCTCACTGACATTTATAGATACTGTTTAAACCAACAGTACAAAGCTACAAAACTCTTTGTGTTAAACGAGTTTTATCATAAGCAATGTCTAATGTCTAAAGTACATGTAAATAAACATCACCCCCCCCCCCCCCCATGGATTCCCTTTATACAGTCCTCTGTCAGAAGCCTAAGGTTTGAGACACTACTTAGCCTTCCAGTGTTTAACTCACCCTGCCAAAATCCCCAGAGGTCCAAATAAAGCCTTGCAAATGTCAGCCTGATTAAAAATATCCTGACTCTTAAATTCCACGGATTAACTACAGTTGGTTCTTCTGAACTGTAAGTAACATGATTTTTCTCTTATCTCAGCTATGAAGAATGTGTTAGACCCGGTGCCACAGAGATCTACTTGCCCACGGATGACCCTCCACCATACTCTCTCACTGACCCCTGTCTGGGGGGAGCCCTGCTGGACGAGCTGGGGGAACAGTGGGGAGGTGCCTCCTGGCTGATGGGAAGCACTGGGGTGCCATACGTGCCTGGACTTCCGCTGGCCTCCGTTTCCCTCTCAGGCCTGCCCCTGGAGGACGTTCCTCCCTACGAAGCCATAGTGAGAAGCCAGAACCAGCACATCCCTCTGATACCTACAGATCTGCTCAAGCACACGGTGGCGGATGGCAGCCCCAGGGGACCCACCACGGACAGAATCCTGTAGCCCAAGCGACCCAGAGCTTGTTGCAGACATATAATGCTCTGCATTCTTGATATAAAGACCTTTCATTTTGTACAGATCCTTCCCACTGTTTGTGTGAATAATCCAGAGAATACAGTAGGCAGAGCAGCCGAACCGAATCTGAAACTTCTCAAGGACTTATTGCTGCCCCCCAGTGGCTGATACCAATATCTGCCTCTCTTTTCAATACGTCTCCATCAAAGGGACCCACGGTGGAGATGGAACTTGGTTTGCCTATAAGGGTGCCACCCAGTATAGTACAAGTAAGAATTATATGGTTAATTGAGATCAGTTAGGTATTGACCCAGGAGAGAGAGCCTACTTTGTGCTATAACACTTTAAAGCAAATGAAATGGAAACTATTCTTCCTTATTTTCATATTATTAATGATCAAATGGCACTTTCTACGAATAATTACCTATATATGACTACCATCTTCCACAGAAAGTGTGTTGATTTAATTCCTACACCTTCATCTTACCTGTTTATTTGTGCAATGTCATGTAGTTTTTGTTTTTGTTTTTTTAAGGCACATAGAATGGATACTTTTAAAATTGAACATTAACGTAAGCATACGTTAACGTAAGCATTTTTAAAAACATCTTTTTAAAAATAACCTCCAAAATTACATTTAAAACTCAAAGCGACAGGTATTTTAGGAACGGTAGCGACCTGGATTGATAACTGGTTAACGGATAGGAAGCAGCGAGTAGTTATAAGAGGCTCAATGTCACAGTGGGCCTGCGTTCATAGTGGAGTACCGCAGGGTTCAATTTTAGGACCCTAATTTACATAAATGATATAGACACCAATATAT